GGTGCATATGTGGGAGGCCGCACAGGGGGTGGGGCGCATGCGGGGGGGCCATGCACGCATTGCATTTTGGGGGTTTGGGCACGCATGTGCATATTTGCATGTGCACTTTGGACACTCAGTCCGGAAAAGGTTAGCCATTACTGGCCTAGGTCAGAGGTGGGCAACTGTGGCCCTTTTACAACCTGTGGACTTCAACTCCCAGGATACCTGAGACAGCCAAGATAGCTTAGGAATTCTGGGAGTTGAAGTCCACAGGTCATAAAAGGGCCACATTTGCCCACCCCTGGCCTAGGTGAACCCAAACTACTTCTACAGTACATTCTTTTTTCTTTTTTTTTAAAGGAGCAGCCCCAAGCTTATAAACTTGGCAATCCATAAAAAGATTTTTAAAAATAAAAGTGTTTGGATAAGAGGAAATAAATAGCAGCGTTCGTATTAGATAAATTGCACTGTTTTAAAATAGCCTTTGATTTTCCATCTTGCGATGTTTTCCATAAGAGGCTTTTCTCTGTGCTGGCTGCATTAGAAATTCTGTGAAATGTTACCTCTTAGCTGTTTTTACTGACAAATCACACAGCGGTAAATAATTCACCACTCTGAGGCCTATAGGGCTTTCTACCGCCTAAATAATGAAATAATGCGCATTTCTTGTGGAAGAGGATTGGAAAATAATACCATTTCCATGTTTCATTGCTGAGCAAAATCAACACAGATAGTCCTTGCTTAATGACCAGTCACTTAATAAACGGTTCAAACTTACAATGGACCTATGCTACATTTATTAGAAATTAAGCAACACCAGGCCGCCTACCTCAAAGAAATTTGTATAAATAAAACTCTTTTTTTTAAAAAAAAGCATCTAAGCTGGAGATCTGGGTTGAACAGGAAGTGGCACCTCCATTACAGGTAAGTCTTTGACTTACAACAGTTTGTTTAGTGAGTGTTCAAAGTTACAACGGCTCTGGAAAAAAAGTAACGTATGATCGTTTTTCACGCTTATGACCATTGCAACACCCCCCCCAATGGTCATGTGATTGCTTGGCAATTGATTCATTTATGATATGGGATCATGTGATCACCTTTTGCGACCTTCTGACAAGCAAAGTCGATGGGGAAGCCAGATTCACTTAACAACCGTGTTGCCAACTTAACAATTGCAGTGATTCACTTAACAACTGTGGCAAGAAAGGTGGTAAAATAGGGCAAAATTCACTGAACGTTCTGTTTCACTTAGCAACAGAAATGTTGGGCTCCATTGTGGTCGTAAGTCGAGAACTACCTGTATCCAGGTGACCCTGAGGTCACAGATAAACCTCCAACTGGCCCCAATGACTCTCAAAGCGAGTACTAATGACCCCAAGGAATATAAATCCTTCCATTCCCTGCCATTCATCAAAACTAAAGAAGCTTCATGGGTATATGCATAATTCTGTATTTATATGTATGTATGTATGTATGTATGTATGTATGTATGTATGTATTCTGTTATATTATGTAGTGAATATTAGAGATGAGCTGTAGGCAACGAAATTTCACTTTAATGTATGCCGTTTAGTGCACATTCAAAGTGACAGTAAAGTTATTATTCCAAAAAAAAAAAAAAATATTCCATTCTAAACTGTCGTAAAATGGGACAAAACTCACTTAACAAATATTTCACTTAGCAACAGAAATTTTGGGCTCAATTGTCGTGGTAAGTCAAGGACTACCTGTATATCCTTTTCAAGGTGATACCTCCGGTAAAAGGGTTTAAAATTACAATGGGCTGATAGAACAATGAAGAATGAAACAGAAATTAAGCGCAGGATAATCTCCTGCAAAATAAAGTTTCCACAGATTAAAATCATTTGCTCATTTTCATTCCACTTCCTCTTATCTGCCTTCCAGGTTAAGAACTGAATAATCATTTCCTGATGCCTCAAATATAGGGAAAGCGTTAATGCTCTAAGTACCTAACCGGGGAGAGGGGGGGGCATACGATAAAATTAGATTTCCTATAGTGTGAAACTTCTCCCAAGGAAAATAGGATGCTGCTTTCTTATCAGGAATCTGTAATTTATGGCCACTATATGATGAATCAAAACCTTCCAGAAATGTTCTCAGCCAGAATCAGAGATTAGAACAACAATGCGCACCTTCCGCCGCGAGTTGAAGACGCTTTTATTTCATCAAGCTGGCCTCGCCTAAATCTTCTCCCTTTTAAGTGTAAATTCTAAATTTTTAATGTATTTTAAAATATGGGTATCTTAAATTATTGGTATTAATTCAGCCAAATTTATTTAATTCATTTTATTCGATTTTAAATTTTGTATATCTATGTGTTTTATCTCATGGCTGTGCACCGCCCTGAGTCCTTCGGGAGTAGGGCGGTATAGAAATTCAATAAAATAAATAAAATAAATAAATAAAGCCACTTAAGTGTCTATGGAGATTCTCAGTCGTGGTTATCCCAAAGGTGTTTTTTTTTTTTTCAGTTCAATATAATTCAGCAGTCCATCTGCATTTAGAAAACAAAGGCCGCTCTTTTGAAGACAGCAAAGTCCACATTTTGGACAGAGAGGGCTGCTGGTTTGAAAGAGGGTTCGAAGAGGCCATCTGGGTCAAAACTGACCAGCCCTTTCTCAACGACACTCACCTAACTCCTGTTTACAACACAGTCCTTTCAGCAGTCCCAAGAAAGTTCCACACCTGTTTGCAATACAGGTAATCCTCGACTTACGAACAGGCCATTTAGTGACCATTCAAAATTAGCACAGCACTGAAAAAAGCGACTTATTTTTATTTTTATTTTATTTTATTTTTCAATTTATATACCGCCCTTCTCCCTGAGGACTCAGGGCGGTGCACAGCCAGAATTAAAAACATGAAATACAAATATTAAAAACAATTAAAATCTATATGACTCTCTTTCACACTTACGATCATTGCAACATTTCCCCCATGATCATGTGATCAAAATTTGGAAGCTTAGCAGCTGATTCATATTTATGACTGTCGCAAGTGTCCTTGGGGTGATGTGATTCCCTTTTGCGACCTTCTGGCAAGCAAAGTCGATGGGGAAAAGCCAGATTCACTTAACAACCGTGTTGCCAACTTAACAATTGCAGCGATTCACTTAACCGCTGTGGCAAGAAAGGTGGTAAAATAGGGCAAAATTCACTGAACGTTCTGTTTCACTTAGCAACAGAAATGTTGGGCTCCATTGTGGTCGTAAGTCGAGAACTACCTGTATCGAGGTGACCCTGAGGGCACAGATAAACCTCCAAGTGAGGCCCGAATGACTCTCAGAGAGAGTGCTAATGACCAGATGATTGCAGGAATATAAACTCTTCCATTCCCTGCCATTCAGTCGGAACTGAAAAAGCTTCTTGGATGAGAAGCAAAACGTCTTCAAGGAAAGATTGCCTCTTTAAAAAGCACCTTTGGGAAAGCCACATCCGATGGGGCAGGGAACCTGTGCTTCATATGTCTAGGTCAGAGATGCGAATCAACAAAGAAAATGAATCGGCTACTTTCTCTGTGAAAGTAAGGAAGGAGAAGCGGCCTCAGCTAACTTTGGATTTTATACAGATCACCCTCACTTTGAAATGGGCTCAGGTAACGCAAAGTTGCCCATTGTGATAACTGTCAAAACAGCAGGTGGCTTCCACACCTGTGAATATTACACTGGGGCATGATATTGCAAAAAAAGAGGAAGCAGCAGCTTTCACTTTCCTTCAAAAAAGATGTTGCGATAAAAAGAGATTTAAAGAGGGAACGAAATTCAAATCACCTTCACTGGGTGCTTCCTGCTTTTAAAATGAAACTTTTAAACCAGAGATTAACTAATACCCTTTACTGTTCACAACTCTTATTTCCTACATCCCCTTGCTAAATAATAATCCTGTATCCCCTATAATTTCCTACTTATCTCCTCTCCCGTCAAAACAGACCGACATGAAGTCTCTCTTGAAGTCCCAAATGACACGTTATCTATTTACGACATCTAAATTTTAAACCATATCATTCCTTTCATAACCCATAAGTGGCGTAGATTTTTTTTTTAGATCAACTGCTTCAGCAGAATAACAGAATAACAAGAGTTGGGAGGGACCTTGGAGGTCTTCTAGTCCAACCCCCTGCTTAGGCAGGAGACCCTACACCACTTCAGAGAAATGGTTATCCAACATCTTCTTAAAAACTTTCAGTGTTGGAGCATTCACAACTTCTGGAGGGAAGCTGTTCCACTAATTGTTCTAACTGTCAGGAAATTTCTCCTTAGTTCTAGGTTGCTTCTCTCTTTGATTAGTTTCCATCCACTGCTTTTTGCCCTGTCTTTAGGTTTTTTGGAGAATAGGTTGACTCCCTCTTCTTTGTGGCAGCCCCTAAGGTATTGGAACACTGCTTATCATGTCACCCCTACTCCTTCTTTTCATTAAACTAAACATACCCAGTTCCTGCAACCGTTCTTTTGTCTTAGCCTCCAGTTCCCTAACCTCATTATTACAGCTAACCTCATTACATCACATTAATTAATAATGTAATATTGCACCTAACCCCATTATTTTTGGCCATTGTCCTCTACAAAACAATTAAACCCTTTTGCTAAAAAATAATAATAATAGTAGTAGTTTTAGGCGGCTGAGATTCCATATTTAGAAGTCAAAAGATGAATTTTCCTTCCTGTGCAGAAGAGATGGATCAGCCCTCAGGTTATTTTGCTAGATCTTGCTGCAAAGAGCGCAGGTGCCTAGAAAAACAGAATAATCCATTTTTCCTGGCTGTTGACCTTCGCTTTTAACCACCCTTTCCGTTTTCCACAAAGAGGCTGTTTTTTTTTAAAAAAAAAATTAGAGTCCAGATCATGGACCACATTCAAATGAAATAAAGTCATTCCACGTATAATATAACAGTTACATGTGGCGGGTGGGAATGCACACATATCGCAAACCCTACCGCTTTGCATTGCAACAACCGGGTTGCCTGTCAGATCGGGGGGAGGGGGGGGCGGCAAACCGTACCTTCTTGGCTCGGTTCGGGGTCAGGCGTCAGAGAGATGTCATCCAGCTCTCTCAAACAGAGCCATTCTCCATCCATCGACACCCGGAATTTGCACAGATAGATGGTTTCCATGGCAGCTTGGGTGATCTTGTCTGTGGTGGGAGTCGGCGTATCGCTTTGAGGCGTCAGCGCGGACATGATGACTCAGCTGATACAACAATAAAGCCGATTTGGGGGGGAAAAATAAATAAAATAAAACCAAAGCAAAAATAAAAACAAAACCATAAAAAGAAGAGGGGGAGGAAAAAAAAAAACCCTTCCCCTCTAAGAGAGAGAAAAAAAAAATTCAATAGCTGGCCGCCGTCGCGGGAAAGATTCGCTGGAGATCAGACAATGCACTACTTTGAGGAAAGCGAGGCAGAGGGGAAGGGGGGGAAAAGAGACCCCCTTCTCAGCTGTTTTCCTTCCTCCGGTTTTCTTCTGCAAAGCCGCACAGCCGTGCACGCACGCTCGATGTGACTAGGAGCTATTATTCCTGAATAACCCCTTCACGCACGGCCTCTGCATCAGGAGTGCAGGGAAAAGAAATATATATCCAGCCCCCTTGGCTATCTCAAAAAAATACCCTTGTCTTTTAAAAAAAAATAAATTACAAAACAACAGAACAATAACCACAAAGAGAAGAAGAGGTATCCAGGATCCACTCAGATCGACAGCTGCTCTCTCTCTCTCTTTCTCTCTCTCTTGCCCCCTTCCGATCAACCCAGATTCAGAAAAGATAATAGGATTGGATTGTGCGCAGTTAGAGAGGGTGTTGACCAAAATGGCTGACTAATGAACTAAAATGAAAATTCAGACTCATGTGACCAGCTTGCTCTCGCCGTACGGCAAGCAATTCCCGAGATGCTTTAGAGATGCAGGAGAAAGAAGTCAGCTGATTCCATCCTCAGCATCTCTCCTTCTGCTTAACCAGGGCTAGTCTAACCCACATCCAGGCACAAAGGGATAGAAACATGCTTGCCATCAACCTTTTAGCTACACAATTTGGGATGAAGACCCTTGGAATGGTGTGGGGAGTAGGAATGGATTTCCGAGGGAAAAAAATTGCAGAGTACAGGAACCATTTGCACCACGCAGGTGACCCTGAGGACACGGATAAAGCTCCAGGCGCTTCAACGGCCCTCAAAAAGGATGCAGATGACCAGCTGTCTGCAAGGAATATAAATCCCTCCATTCCCCACCGTCCTGTCAGAACTGAAGAAGCTTCTTGGATAAGAAGCGAAACATCTTCAAAAAAAACAAACAAGAAAGTCCAATTGCCTCCTGAAAAAAAAAACACCTTTGGGATCAACCTCACATGTTTACCAGTTTCAAAACATCTTTAGCACACGTTTATTCTTTTGCAAAGAGGTCCATTTCCTGAATGGGGAGAGTGTCGTCCCCTAAATGCATCCGTTGCATACATTAATTAACACCAATTTTTTTTCAGGGGAAAAAGAATATCGAGAAGCGATTTTGCTAAATACCCAGTGCTTGGCATACACGTATTACTTGCAAGCTGAGTAATGGACCGATTCTAACCACAGCATGTTTGCAAAAGGGGGACAACATATTTTGTAGCTAATGCCAATTAGTCTGAAAAGATCACAGGTACAACAGAACAGACCTGTCTGTAGTAAAATTTTAACCTCAGACTGTAGTAAAATTTTAACTTCAATCTGTAATAAAATTTTACCTTTCTGTAGTAAAATTTTAACCTCAGTCTGTAGTAAAATTTTAACCAGTCTGTAGTAAAGTTTTAAACTCAATCTGTAGTAAAATTTTAACCTTAGTCTGTAGTAAAATTTTAACCTCACTCTGTAGTATGATTTTAACCTCAGTCTGTAGTAAAATTTTACCTCAGTTTGCAGCTACTGTAAACAGATTTATATACCTCCCAAGAGAATAATACGGAAAAAGAGACTTCAATTTCCAGTTCCTGGAGACACTCGTTACTGCTTATTATGTTTAATCTGGAATTATTTTCATACAAACTGAGATATGACGACCCTAGAAGAAATTATCAATGGATGGATATGGAATGATCGAAAGACACTTCATACAGAGAATAAATGACTAATTTGGATAACAAGACGGCTGTTCCAAAGTCATCTTACATCTTGCTTGAATATGCCATTAAAAACATGCTTGAAGTAAATATGCAGCTACTTCCCAACTTACAACAGTTCATTTAGTGACCAAAGCTACAACGGCACTGAAAGAAGTGACTTATGACCGTTTTTCACACTTACGACCATTGCAGCATCCTCATGGTCATGTGATCAAAAGTCAAACGCTTGGCAACTGACTCATATTTATGATGGTTGCAATGTCCCGGGGTCATGCGATCGCCTTTTGCGACCTTCTTGACAAGCAAAATCAATGGGGGAGCCAGATTCATTTAACAACAATGTTGCTAAGTTAACAACTGCAGCGATTCACTTAACAACTGTGTCAAGAAAGGTCATAAAATGGAGCAAAATTCACTTAACAACTGTCTCAGTTAGCAACAGAAATTAGGACTACCTGTAATCTTTCATAAATCCAATTCCACACACCTTCTATAAAGTAGGAGACAATTTCCAGGCCGTTAAGACCCCACAAATCAAAATTATGCTAAGGTTCCAGCTTTATTTTTGTAGTAAGTTCAGTTCCCACAGTTTACAATCAAAGGACTCTTAACACAAAAATTATAACCAAGTAATTCAGTGAGAGAATGGTGACTATCATATTTCTGCAAACACATTAGAGCTAGCGAGTATAATTTCCTTACTAGAGGCTTCCTACGATGTAAAAATTTTCCTAGGAACTACATTCACAGAAATGGTGTAACACAGAAGCATATGTTAAAATCATTATATATCAGAAATAAATCAATGCTCTGATTTTGGTTCAGAGTAGATAATCTTTCCTTGATTCTTCCTTCTCTTTACCTCTGATTCGGTAATACAGGTGGGAAAAATACGTCAGTGCATTCTTTCCACAAGAGTATTCAAGGATTAGAAACAGGTGGTAGAAGCTGGACCTTATGTTTATTATCTAATTAAGGAAACTGCTTGTTATTTCATAAAAGTATTACTTCATTTGGCTTCAGTTTGGTTTCTTCAGCGCTATCTCCCATCTTTGCTATCTCACATCTTATTTTACACTTACTAGTAAAGGTAAAGGTTCCCCTCGCACATATGTGCTAGTCGTTCCCGACTCTAGGGGGCGGTGCTCATCTCCGTTTCAAAGCCGAAGAGCCAGCGCTATCCGAAGACGTCTCCGTGGTCATGTGGCCGGCATGACTCAACGCCAAAGGCACACGGAACGCTCTTACCTTCCCACCAAAGGTGGTCCCTATTTTTCTACTTGCATTTTTTGCGTGCTTTCAAACTGCTAGGTTGGCAGAAGCTGGGACAAGTCATGGGAGCTCACTCCTGTCACACAGGACTAGGGGATTCGAACCGCTGAACTGCTGACCTTTCAATCAATAAGCTCAGTATCTTAGCCACTGAGCCATCGCATCCCTTTACAACATTACAACATACAACAACAAGCAAAATGTACAAAACATTTTGCATTCAAAACACTTCCACTTCAAAACAACCATTCTGATTGTTGTTTCAAATCCACTTCCAATCTCACTGGAAGAAGAGCCACTCAGGTTTAATGAGTGGCTTAAATTTGCTTTTTATTTTATTTATTTATTTAATTATCCCGCCTTTATTATAGGTAGAGAACATATATAGTACTCCTTCACCTTCCTATGTTCCCCACGACGAACACTCTGTGAGGTGGGTTGGGCTGAGAGACAGTGATAGGCCCAAAAGTACCCAGCTGGCTTTCATGCCTAAGGCAGGACTAGAACTCCCAGACTCCTAGTGATTGGCCCAAAGTCACCTACCAACTTTCATGCCTAAGGATGGACTAAAATTCACTGCTTGCTGGTGAACTGTTGTTAAGTAGAGGATTACTTGTACTCAGTGGTGAAATGTAAAATTTGTTACTACCGGTTCTGTGGGCGTGGTTTGGTGAGGGGTAATGTGACTGAGTAGGCATGGCCAACTTTTTATTTTTTTACTTTTAAAAGCCTTTTTTCTACAACCTTAAGAGGTTGCAGAAAAAAATGCTTCTAAAAGCCTCTGACGATCAGGCAACTCAGCTGGGATTGCCAGAGGCTTTTAAAGGCATTTTTTTTCCTACAACCTCTTTGGCCGAAGAGGCTGTAGAAAAAATGCTTTTAAAAGCCTTTGACGATCCCAGCTGAGCCACACGATCATCAGAGGCTTTTTTTTTTTTTTTACTTGTAAAAGCATTTTTTCGGCCGAAGAGGTTATAGAAAAAATGCTTTTAAAAATAATTTTAAAAAAGCCTCTGCTGATTGCACGGCTCAGCTGGGCATGGAGGAGGGAAGGGATTTTTGCTACCGGTTCTCTGAACCACCTGCCGCCATCACTACCGGATCGGGCGATCCGGTCCGAACCGGGAGCATTTCACCCCTGCTTGTACTGCAAATTGTCCTTGCCTCAGTGTATCTCTCCCTGTAACACATCAGACGAAGAATATGTAACTCATGTTCTTTTACACTGCAGATTTTATACAACATTGCATCAAAACCTCATTCTTCCCCTTCTACTATCAATCTGCTGATCCAGAAGTGGGCGTCACATAATGTAACAACCGGTTTGCCCAGCACCGAAAATGTGAGCGTGCGGGCGGCTTCAAAAACACGGCGACTATATAGGACGGGATAGCGCCGGGGCGGGCCCAGCCGCTGGTTGAAGCTACCAGTTTGCAGCAGCCCACCTCTGTCCTGATCTTCAGGTAATTTTTATGCTGTCGAATTTCTGATAAAAATTTTTCATACACGCTCTAAAATATTGCAAAGTTTTTGCTATCTAGCATCAAGGATACCTTTGCCAGGGTATCCACAACAAGATTTAAGACGGATTGCTATATATGCTTATTTGTATTTCTCTGTTTTGGCTCTTTCCCCCCCCCCCCTCCATTCTCTGTTTAATTTGCTTTTATTTATATCTGTTTTAAAGGTTGTAACACATATAAAACTGACTGGGAAAGATTGAGGGAAAAAAGAAGAACGGGACGGCAGAGGACGAGGTGGCTGGATGGAGTCACTGAAGCAGTCGGCGTGAGCTTAAATGGACTCCGGGTGATGGTGGAGGACAGGAAGAGCTGGAGAAAAGTTGTCCATGGGGTTGCAATGGGTAAGACACAACTTCGCAACTAACAACAAAAATCTTACTGGAAGTGTCCCAACATGGAAACAGCTGTTTCAAGCTGAAAACACAATACTTTTAACCAGGAACCCTTGCAAAATAGTTAGAATAGGATAAGAGTTATTCTGATGAGGTTGGGCCCTATTTGCTGTTCCAGTAAAGCAGGAAATATTTTGAGTTCAAAAACGTTTCAAATTTGAAATGTTTGCATATCTCTGCTTTTCGATTCCCGCTGAACTAAATCCTGATCAAATACACATTTCCTCTACAAAAATATTTCCAAACTTCTTGGTAATAATTTACAACAAACAGTGTATCTATAACATTAATCCTGACACACACGTTTTAATAGCTGTATCAAGCCTGTGCAATGCTTCAGATCTGACTCAGAACAGGAGCTTCCCAAATATATGGGAGTGCAAATACAGCGTCTGTTTGTAACTCATTAAAGCAACCGTCTCTCTTTCCAACACAAGATGGCTGCAGGGAAGCCCCACAACATTCTAGAAAAAGATGTAGAAATTTCAGGCCAATGCTAAGTTCACACTCTCTTATTTTAAGTTCCTCTTCCACCAGAATTCCTGTTGCT